GGGTCAGTCCTTGCAGACCTGAGTTCCCCCTAGGGCACCTGCCTCGTCGGGACTTCCCTAAAAACAGTCACTTGGGAGGCCTTCTAGCTGAAGGAAGTATGGAGCCTCCATTCTGTTTTCCCCTTTACCCACCCCTTGCCGGTCTGTGTTCTGCACGAGGTTGCAAACCTCCGGAGAGCAGACCTCGGTTTGACCGTTGCTGTGGCCCCTGCTGCTGCTGCTGCTCTGCGGAGACAACAGAGCGAGCAGGAGCCCGGCCGGTAGTAAGAGAAACAGCTCATCTACAGCCGCAACGTGGATCTGTTTTTGCTATAAGTGCTGAGTTCTAGATTTTTTTATTTACCTGTTTCCACCTCAGAATTCATCACCCTACTCTAAAACAGCTTTTTTTCTCCTTTCACCCTTATGTTCACATGCCAAATTCTGGGAACGGGGTTCAAGTGAGAAGATAAGGCAGAGCCTCTTTTATTGTACAGTCTTAGCATGGGGCTGCCGTGCCACATCAGGCTGGGGGACCCCCCCCCCCCGGGAGCGGGGCGCACCCAAGCACTCTCCTCTCCGCAGGTGGAGCGGCTGACCAAGGAGTTCTCCATCTACATGACGAAGGATGGCCGCATCTCGGTGGCAGGGGTCACCTCGGGCAACGTGGGCTACCTTGCCCATGCCATCCACCAGGTCACCAAGTAATTTCCCTGACGAGAGGAAACAGAGACGACCTTCCCGGCGACCTCTGCTGTTGGGAGACTCACACGGAGGAAGAGGGAGGGCAGATGGTGGTGAGCGGATCATTTCTTTCAACCACAGCACTGAAAACTCGGCGCTTGACATGCGTTTCTCAGAGAAGAACGTATAGGAAAACGGGCAGAGGCATCCGTGGCTGGTACGTGGGACTTTGCGGCTCTAAACCAAACTCTTCCCGATCTTTATACCTCCAGCTTTTCCGAGAGAGTTTACACGTACAAGAAAGTCATAGCCAAAAAAAAACCCATCAATCAGACCATTGCAATATTTCTGAAGCTTTAACTGAAGCAACGTATGGTGCTGGTTCAGCATGAAAATGCCACGTACTAGAGGCTTTGTGAGAAGAGCTAGTCCTAACAATAATGGCCTCAGGTCTGCCCTCCTAGGACAGAACAGCCTGACCAACACGCCACATTACAGAAATTATGTGCTGTCAAAACCAGTGAGTCGGCTGCCACTGCAGCAGAAAGATTAAAAGATGCTGTTTCCAGTCTTATTTAAGAAAAAAAGAAAGAAGACTCTCCTTGTAGGTACTCGCAGGCACTTGAATGTTCCCCTCCCCTCTTTCACCACTGCCGGTCTTTTCCGAAGGTACGGGACCTCTCACTAACCTGGATTTTCATCCTGTTCTGTTGCTCGATTGACCGTCAGCCCCATCCCTGTAGCTCTGACGCATCTGAAGAATGAAGAACGTGATTTACTGCTCACCCCATACCCCCACCTTGCTCCACAAAGAACAGCAGAGGATGGTAAACAGATCATTTCAGCATCCTCCCCCGTGGTCGTCTGCTGCCGGGAGGTCGCCTCTGCCCAGTCGGACCTCACACCTCTGTTCGTCGCTGTCGTGAGCCGGGCCAGGCAGGTGGAACCCACGGAGGACGTTCAGGGCTTTGGTTCTGACCTCCGTGAGCTTCCAGCCAGGCCCCGGCGGCACCCTTGGGGAAGATAACCACCATCTGCTCTAATCGTGTAGACTTACTGCAGCCTGGTTTCTCTGTTACAATAAAGTTACCGTAGACCCAACGTCCATCTACTCTGCTGTCTTTTTTCTGTAATGGGAGGAAAGGGTAGGAGTGGATATAGAACCCAGAAATCTGAAGTCGTATCCAGCTGACCATAAACCTGTAGATATGTTTAGCTGTTCCAAATATAAGCTAACGCCACGCGTTTTGCCTTTGTCTCACCACTTGGCTTGGCCAGTCCACAGATGCTGGAAAGGTAGGTATAACCCACCGGTCCCTGGAGGGGCAAGTGCAGTGCCTCGAAGGATCTTGGGGATGTGGGCGGGGAGCCAAGGAGACGTGGGGGAGGCGGCAGCTTCAGGTGTCTGTGGGAGCCAGGCAGGGTATACGAACAGCGAATGTAAAGTTACAACAGTCACGCAACCTGGACGTGAGATGATCCCAGGTGACCAACCCTCGTCCCCAGTGATGAGTAAGAGGCAAATGACAAGCACTGTGAGCATAAGTAAAGTCCAGGATTGCAGGTCTTATTTTTCAAATGAAACAAATCCTGATTTTTATAGGAGCTGTATTGATGCTTCAAAGTTGGCAACTAATTCCATTTTTTTAATGATTGACAAGTAAGATGCAAACTGTAGGTTGCCAGTGTGACCTCTACCATGGAGTCAGATACTCTGTCAGCAGACATCCAGCGATGGCACCTGCTTGGCACCAAGGTTAATCGGTTCCCCTTCTGCTTCCTGCTAGGAGCCAATCACAAAGGAACAGGCAGCGGAGCAGGAGTTGGGCCAAGGGCATATCCACGGTGTTTGGATGGGTGTTTGGATGGGTGATTGGATGGTCAGAGGCAGCAGCGGGCTCAGCTTTCTCTCTCCCCCTTGCTCCTGCTCACAACACGGGGGGCACAGTGCACATCAGGCTTGCTCCTGACCCTGACCCTTCTGTGTCCCTGTTGAGAATGGATACACCAAGGTGGTGGATGGATGAGTAAGTGAGCTTATCTGGAATGGCCTTTGACTGGATGTCTTTGGGAAAGTATCCTGAGGGAAAACAAGAAACATTACTCAGCTGCTCCGTAAAGGGACTGACCACCTAGGTTCAGAGAAACTGCTTTAAGTTTCCCTGTCTGGAACCAAATGGCAGGTTGGCTGCCAAGACAGCCACTGGGAAAGGAAGCTGACCACCCTGCTGACCTTGTTATTTTTAAACAGACGCATTGCCAGCGCACGGTGAACGAAGTCCCTTTCCTCACCAAACAGGGTCACGTGGGGTGTGTTTTTCTCAGCAGTTCCAGCTGTTGGCCTTCAACCTTTTCCTAGTTTTCTAGTCTGGATCGAAGATGTCAATGTTCATCCTCCTGATGGACGAGGTCGTTTGCCTGCTCAGAAAGAATAGGCGTGCTTTCTTTGTTTTATATAATTTAAGGTAGAAGAGTTCCCAAATCTGAAATTTTTTTTTAATACTGGTTCCCTGGCCTTACATCTGGACATTCTGACTCAGTATGTCTGAGATAAGGCTTGGGGGTCTTTTTTTTTTTAATACTAAAAAGAGAGTAAGTCCTAGGTGGTTCAGGTACAGCTGACCCATTGACTAGCCATCGGGTAGTATTAGACTAAATTGCTTCAGGCTTACATCTGACTAAATGACTGAAGTCCAGTCTGCTCAACCAACTTGAGAGGTGGGTTTTGTGGGGGGGGGTTGTTTTTGTTTTGTTTTGTTTTTTCACTTTTTTCCTTATGCGCAGTGAAATTTTTTTCATAGGAATTGTGGGTTTGTATCTAACATGAAAGTAACTTTTTTACAATGATAATCTTATAAAAAATCTTGAGAAGCACTGGCTAGGTAGCTCAGTTTGCTTAGACCATCATCCCAAGGTTGGGGGTTCAATCCCCAGTCAGGGCACATACAAGAATCAAAGAGTAAATGCATGAATAAGTGGAACAACAAGTCAATGTTCCTCGCTTGCTCGCTCTCTTATCAATAGAAAAAAAATCTTGAGAATATTATAAATCATATACCTGATGTGGGATTTGTAACCAGAATATATAAAGAATACACTTAAAGAATAAACAAGAATATAAACCAATTAAAGATACTGGAAAAGTATCTGAATAGACATTTCTCCAGAGAAGACACATAGATGGCCAATAAGCACATGAAAAGATGCTGACGTCATTAGTCAGGGAAATGCAAACCAAAACCACAATGAGAATCACTTCACACCCACTAGGGCGGCTGTAATAAAGAAGACAATAAATAATGAGGGTTAGTAAGGATGTGGGGAAATTGGAACTCTCACTCAGTGTGGATAGCAATGTACAATGGTGGAGCTGTGTCGGAAGACAGTCCAGCAATTCTCAAAAAGTTAGACATAGGGTTACCGTTTGACCCAGCAATTCCACTTCTACATATATACATGCCCAAGGTAAATGAAAACACCCATCGACACAAAAACTTGTGTGCGAATGTCCATACCGGCAGTATGCACGATGGCCACAAAGTGGAACCAACCCAAATGTCCAACTGATGAACAAATAAAATGTGGAATATCCACACCATGGAATATTATTTAGCAATGAAACAGAATGAAGTACGGTCCTGGCTGCTGTGGTGCCGTGGATAGAACGCCGGCCTGCAAACCAAAGGGTCACTGACTGGTCCCATTCCCAAGTCACGGCACCTGCCTGGGTTGCAGGCCCTGTGCCTGGCTGGGGGCTTGCAAAAGGCAACTGATGGATGTATTGCTCACATCGATGCTTCTCTCCCTCCCTTACCCTCTCTTTATAATTAAAATATTTCTTTAATAGAATGAAGTACTAATATGCTCCAAGGATGAAACTTAATACCAGCCCCTCCAAAACACAAAGTAGGATAGTGGTTGCCAGGGGCTTGGGGGAAGGAGGAATGGGGGTGGTGACCGCGGATGGTTACAGGGTTGTTTTTTTCTGTGGGGAGGGGGTGGGGTGGGGCCGTGATGACAAGGCTGAAATCAGTGGTTATGGTTGCAAAACTCCATGAATATACTAAAACCACTGTATTGGACACTTTTAAAGTATCGACTTTATGGTAAAATGCATAAAGTTCAAAAAAGCTATTATATTTGTTAAACCTGCAAACAACTCAGATGTCCTTCAACACGTGTTCACTTACACAAACTAGTACGTACAAACCGTGGGATACTAACTACGAAACTACAACTCCCAGCGTGCCCCGCGGCCCTCCCTAGTCCCAGCGATCAGGTGACCACTGTTCACGTGTCTTCGCAGCCGGCTGGGACGTAAGGGACCGTGGGTAGGTGGCAGGAGGTTGAAGCGGTGGAGGGTGGAAGCGCTAGGACCCCGGGTACCCAGATCCCCGACCGCAGGAGAGTCCTGACCGCTCCCTGCAGGGGGCTCCGAAGCCCGGCGTCCTCGGTCGCACGCCTGCCGTCGGTTGGTCGGTCTCTGCCCGGTCTCCAGCCTGTCCTAGGCCCGGATCGATTTGCGGAGCCCTTCCCCAGTTTACCCCAAAGCAGCCCATTCTTCTCACTACAGGTCTGGGGGTCGTTGCCTGCGCGCCGGGTGCGCCCGGGTCCACGTCCCAATGCAGCCCACCCCTCATATTTCTGGGATCTGGCTCCAGGCTGGAGTGGGAACCGGCTCCGGTTGGGATCTGAGGGGCCTGCTGCAGTGATTACAGCTCTGGCCTCAGCACGCTGGCACCAGGCGTCTAGTTCTGGGTCTGCCAACCAACTGCTGTGCGTTAATCTAGCGTCTTTCCCTCCCTGGGTCTGTCCGCCTAACTGATCTCTCCTGTGACTTAGAGGCAGCCGGGCTCAGTTCCCTTAACTTTGCTGACCAGTGCAGAAACCGCTCAAACTCTTCACTGCTAACAGCACATTTTAAGTAAAGCCTTGAAGGAAAAAAAAAAAAAAAAGGAAGAAGGAAAGAAAAAGAAACTTGGGAGCAGAGACAGAAGTGAAGAGAATCAGATCCCACATCTTTGCAGAGACCCTCCACCACGGCCCGTCAGGTGGACGAGCAGGTAAGCTGGGGACAGTGGAGCTGAGCAATGTGGCGGGAGGGGAGGCCAAGAGACCTCACAGCTCGATGTCTGACATGTGAGCAGGGCTGAGGAGGAGGTCCCACAGCTCTGTCTGGCGGCGGGAACTTTGCAGGGGTCTCTCTGTGGCAGTGCTGGAAGCCTGAGAGCTCACGGCTCTTCCTCCCATGCTCAACTCTTCCTACCGTACTCGCTGCTTTGATTTTCTGGCTGACTTCCTGTGGAGTGACCGGTTGCATAAGAGGAAGCCCTGTGGCTCCTGACTGCTCTGTCTGGAGTTGGAGCCCGCAGGGAGATGGCCTCCTGAGCTGGTCCCTTGGTTGCATGTGTGGTGACCAATGTCTCAGAGCATCAGAGCACTCCTTTTCCCCGCTCATGAGTGGACCGTTCCCCACTTTTGTTGGACGGTCGCCAGGAGGAGCAATGGGAAGCATCTGACTACCCAGAGGTCCTCCTTTGTCATTCTAAATCCCCAGGGTGCTGAGGGCATCAGAGAGGATGCCTCTGTGGTTTAGTGGTCCCCAGCCTTTTTGGCACCGGGGACCACTTTCAAGGAAGACAATTTTTCCAAGGACCGGCAGGGGTCAGGGAGGAGAAAAGGAGGCGGAGTTCAGGCGGTAATGTGGGCAAAGTTTGCCTGCTGCTCACCTCCTGCTTTGGGGCCCAGTGCCTAACAGGCCACCGACTGGTACCGGTCCCGCGGCCTAGGGACTTTGAAAGCTGTGCAGAACTTAGACTCTGGGCTGGAGGGGGTTGCGCCGGGCTGTAACACACTGAAATGCCCTCGGTTCTGAGCGAGGGCTGCTCTTGGACCCCGTGGTGTGGAAACAGCCTGGGAAGGCAGACAGATCTGTATCCAAATCCTGCTCTGCAACTTGCTACTATGCGACCCTGGCTCATTGACTCAACCTCTCCCAAACTTTCTGGCCACTGTCATAAGGACGGAATGAGATATGTCCAGGATACTCCTGCCCCATACATGGCCTCTCTCTAGTAGGACTTGCCCGGGACCTGTTTCTGTGTCTGCCACCCCCCGCTGTGGCATCCAATTTGGTGGTCTGCACACAGGTGCACCTGGGCTTGAATCCCAGCCATCTGCTCTTGGGAAAGTTGTTTCACCTCTCTGTGCCTGCCCGGGATTAACAATAATACCTGCCTTTCCTGTCTAGGCTGAGACGAGCCAGAGCCCATGGGCCTCCTAGGAGAACAGCTCTGAACAGGCGATGTGGTCGTGAGGGAGACTCTGCAGGCCCTGCAGGAAGAGGGCTCTCGGGGCCATGGCCCAGGTCAGCATCAACAGTGACCTTGGCGAGTGGGGCTTCAGCACGGATGCCGGGGAGCGGGCCCGTCTGCTGCAGAGTCCCTGTGTGGACTCGGACCCTAAGGGGGAGGCGGAGGCCTCTCCTGAAAGTCTGAGCGGAGGTGCCACGTCCACATTTGGGGCCATCTTCATTGTGGTCAACGCCTGCCTGGGTGCAGGATTGCTCAACTTCCCAGCAGCCTTCAGCACTGCCGGGGGTGTGGCAGCTGGCATCTCCCTGCAGATGGTGAGTGTGCAGGCCCGGGGGGCAGAGACGCAGTTCAGCTGATGAGTCTGGCCTCTGTGCCTCTAAGGGAAGGCTTTGGATCAGGGATGGTCAGAGCTGCCCCTCCCCCCACGCTCCCACATGGCAGACACATTGATCTGTTCCCTCATTCATTTCTCTGGGCCCCGGTGAGGAGGCTTCAAAAGCCTTCCCAGCAATCGGGGAGAATTGACATCAATTGCATGTAGTCTCATGGTTATGTTTAAGAAGTAGCGCCTTTTAGAGTTACACGAAATACTGATGAAATGATAGGGGAACTTTTTTTTTTCTTCAAAATAATCCAGAGTGGGAAAAGGGAGAGATGAAACAAGATTGGCCACCAATGGATCATTTCTGAAGCTGAGCGATGAGGACACAGGGGTCTATGATAACCATTCTGTCTACTTGTGTGTGTGTTTGGAATGTTCCACAGAGCTGCTTTTGTTTCTCGAGAAAATCTTAAGTCGGCAGCCTCCAGTAATCCATTAAAATTGCCCAACAAGAGGAGGCTTATTTTGCAAACCAGCTTTGATCAGTGGCCCGGTAAATGCCGAGCAAGACCAGGCTGCCCTTTGCTGCCAGGCTTTTCCCACACCCTCTTGCCCTGCCCCCGCCCGCAGGGCATGCTGGTTTTCATCATCAGCGGCCTGGTCATCCTGGCCTACTGCTCCCAGGCCAGCAATGAGCGGACCTACCAGGAGGTGGTGTGGGCTGTGTGTGGCAAGGTGACGGGCGTGCTGTGTGAGGTGTCCATTGCCATCTATACCTTCGGCACCTGCATCACCTTTCTCATCATCATCGGGGACCAACAGGACAAAAGTGAGGTTCCCTCAATAGCTACCTCCCCTCTCCCCCTTGGCCCCTGGGGATCCTGGGGGTAGAGGGAAAGGTCAACCTCGCCTGGGGCCAGCATTCCCCTAGGGGCCCTCCCTCCTGGCTGCTGGGCCCCTGAGAGCGATGAAGGCCCTGCGGCCCAGCAGAGCCAAGAGCTGTACCCTACAGCGACCTGGCATGACGCTCCCTCTTCCTCCCTGTGCAGTCATTGCTGTGCTGGCAAAGGAGCCTGAGGGGACCGGCAGCAGCCCCTGGTACACGGACCGCAAGTTCACCATCAGCCTCACTGCCTTCCTCTTCATCCTGCCCCTTTCCATCCCCAGGGAGATCGGCTTCCAGAAATACGCCAGGTTCGGAGGCCCCTCCCCAACCTGGGCCAGACAGGGAGGGGCTCTGATCGCAGGCAGCTGGAGACCCAAGGGCTGCTGGGGTGCCCTGTCCCCCATGCCACCACGCCTTCTGGGGCGGCAAGAGCAGGCAAGGCAGGCCAGCCAAGGCTTGCAGCATGAGACCTCCTTTTCTATCGGCAGCAAGGGAGACAGTGACCCTTTGCATCCGTGGGATAGTCAGTTCCAATGTCCTTGTCGCAGAAGGGACAGGCGACAGGCATGTGCAGTGTGAAGGCAGCCACCTGGCCTGAGCCTCGGGTTGCCCAGAGAGGATGGGGTTTTTGGTCAGTTGGGGTTGTCAGCCTGGCAGTGTCTTCCACGCAGCTTGTTATGACGGGAGGGGACCGGCTTCCTGGCCCAGGGTCTGAAAAACTGTTTCCCGTCATCTGTAACTGACCAGGTCGCACCCAGCTGTCTCCAAGGTCCCTTGTGATGTTACCATTCCAGTATTTGTACCTTCAAATGTCCTCCAGAATTTTTACCTCCAGAATCTCCCAGTTGGAGAGACGGTCTCCCAGTCTCCTAGTTAGAGACAGTCTTATGGCCCTGCTCGCAGCCCTGGCCAAGTGCGGGCCACTCGGACTGAAGCAGGAGACGGGCTCTGAAGCCCAGGCCTGCAAGCCACGGAGCTAAGCCAGTGCACCTCCTAATGGTCACAAGTGTCGGTCTGGCCCCCTGTTGGGGTCCAGCTCCCTCCTAACTGTGGCCAGTTTCTCCAAAACTCACTTCCCATGCATTTCTTGAGCCTTTGTTTGAAACAGTCTCCCGATCCGTTCAGTAGACACCCGTGGTCCCCAGAGCTGAAGGTAGATGCCCCTGGGGTGGAATCAGAGAAAGGGCAGCTGGGGCTGAGAGGGGGAAGTTCAGTTCCTTCCTCCCGGCAGCTTCCTGAGCGTCGTGGGCACCTGGTACGTCACCGCCATCGTAATCATCAAATATATCTGGCCGGATAAAGAGATGACCCCAGGGGACGTCCTGACCAGGTGGGCGAGGGCCCCGGGGAGACAACTGACGGAGAACCTGCTGCCTGGGCCCCCGAAGGTCAGGGTCACACATCCGAAGGCCACACGGCTGCTCGTCTCCAGGCTCTTTAGCTCAGCAGGGCCTGGCTCACCGGGCACTGCAGGGGGGAGGCAAGAGGTCCCGGCCGCTTCTCGCTGAAGGGAATCATGAGAACCAGGGCTGGGGAGGCTTTGCCATGGACATCCAACCGCTGAGCCAGCGTGAGACCGGGCCACAGGCTGCCGGGGCACGCTTCTCTAGCTTGTAATCATCTATATTGTTTGTGTCTTCCACGGGAGGATGAGCCTGTTTTGTCATTTTTTAAGTTTCCCCCCTTTTTTTTTTAAAGAGACAAACCAAAAAAGCAAAAGCCCCAGGGTAGGAGCCAGACATTCTGGATTTTGGTCCTGGGAGGGCCTCCCAGAGCCCCCGTTTACAGGCCTGTGAAATGGAGGTGCAGCCTCGCCCCATTCCCGGACGGCTGTGGGTTGCATGTGCAGGGTGCTCGTGGGCGGAGGCCGTGGTGGGCTGAATGGGGAATGAGCGCTTTGGGGGGTGTTGGCAGCTGTGTGGGGGACCCCAAGTGGCAGAGTCTTGTGTGCTTACCCGCAGGCCAGCTTCCTGGATGGCCGTGTTCAACGCCATGCCCACCATCTGCTTTGGATTTCAGGTGCCAGCTGCCAGGTCCCTGTCGTCCCCTTAGCCCACTCCCCACCCTGGGGTGGAGCCCACATTACAGGCAGGATAGGGGTCCTGGGAGGAAGGGCTGAGTGGGGACCCCAGGACTTGCCCTTTGTCCCTATGGCCTTTGTCCCCAAGATCCCTCTCCCTGGAAACGGGGGGTGAGGCCACTTCGCCACCGTAACTGTGACCTGCGCCCCGACAGTGCCACGTGAGCAGCGTGCCCATCTTCAACAGCATGCGGCAGCCCGAGCTGAGGACGTGGGGCGGGGTGGTGACGGCCGCCATGGCCATAGCCCTCGCCGTGTACACAGGCACAGGTGGGCGCTCCCTCTGCAGGCCGGGCTGGGGGCCCTCCCACGTCCCCTCTTCCTTCCCAAGTCCTCTGGCCCGGCTGTCCAGGGGCCACCCTGCACTCTCCGCATGTCAAACCCTTCTGTCCGCACTGGCTTGAACTTGGGCTGCCTTGGGCCACCCCCGCCCCGCCCAAATGATCATCCACTGGCTCAGCAGCTCTCCGAGACTGGAGACTGGGGCCCTCACCCTGCCCTCCTGGGACTGATAGTGCAGGGAGAGAGGTGGTCGTACAAGAGAAACTCGGGAGTCGGGGAGGACTCTCAGTAGTGAGGGCCCCGGTGGCTGTGAGACGGGAAGACGTGAGTAAGACTAGGGGGTGGGGGGTGACATCAGGGGATGGTTCACAGAAGGCTTCTCTCTGAGGCCCAGGTGATGAGAAGGAGTCAGAATCTGCAGGCCTGGAGGAAGGGCACGCCAGAGGAACCAGAAACTCCTGGTGCCCGAGGCGGGAGCAGAAGAGAGGCCTCTGTGGCTGGGGTGGGGGACGGGGCCAGGGCCGGGGCCAGGTCCTGCCGGGCCCTGAGGGCTGCCAGGGCCGGAGCACGAGCGCCCTCAGCACAGGTGCCGGTGAAAGTTGGCTGTGGGCCTGTGTGGGTCCGGCTCGGACAAGGGACCCGGACCTGGAGGCCCCGAGAGTTGCCCAGCGATGCTGTCCACCAAAATGGTTCAGGGCCAGCCCTCTTCTCCCTCTGCAGTCACAGCCAGGGACAGGAGAGGCAACTGGAGACAGAGTCCCTGCTCCCCTGGGGCTCGTGTTCTGGTTGGAGGAACAAATGATAAACAAGTTTTGAAAAAAGAAAGAATTCAGACAGACGAGCTATGAAGGAAATGACAGGTCTATGTGCTAGCACCTGGGGGAGGGGTTACTGTGGACGGTCCATCCTGATTATCCCCCAGGGTGGCCCTCGCCCAGCCCTTTCCTCCCTGCCCTCAGGCGTCTGTGGTTTCCTGACCTTTGGCGCTTCCGTGGACCCTGACGTGCTCCTGTCCTACCCCTCCAATGACGTGGCCGTGGCCGTGGCCCGTGCCTTCATCATCCTGAGCGTGCTCACCTCCTACTCCATCCTGCACTTCTGCGGCCGGTGAGCCCCTCCCCGCCCCAGTGGGGCGCTCCCTCAGGGCCCCTGAAAGCCCTGTGAACTGGCCCATTGGCCCTGCATGGAACCCCCGTTGTTGGAGAAACTGCAGCCCACAGGAAAGAGTCAGTGCCCAGCATGGCCCAGTCAGCACCCCCAGCCGGGGCTTAGGGCCCCCTTCGTCCCAGGGTCCCCAGAACATTCTGTGAGTCCTCTGAGAGCCTGCAGTCCAGATCCCTTTCTGAACACCCAGCCTTCTGGGGGTCCCAGACCCTTCCTTCACAGCAGAAGGATAGAACCAGTCCCCACCGGCGACCCCACCCTGGACCAGCAGGGCGCTCAGCAGGGCGCTCAGCAGGCCCCACAGCAGCCTGAGCACATTGCCGCTTTGCCTGCATTACAGAACAGGGAACAGGCTCACCCAACATCTACACATCTACACACGGTCTGGGCCCGGGAGGGAGGTGGGGGCCGTGGGCAGGCGTGCCTCTGAGCCCGCTGTGTGCCGGCACAGGGCGGTGGTGGAAGGCCTCTGGCTGCGCTACCAGGGCGTGCCCGTGGAGGAGGACGTGGGCCGGGAGCGGCGGCGGCGAGTGCTGCAGACGCTGGTCTGGTTCCTGCTCACCCTGCTGCTGGCGCTCTTCATCCCCGACATCGGCAAGGTCATCTCAGTCATCGGGGGCCTGGCCGCTTGCTTCATCTTCGTCTTCCCAGGTGCGGACCCCGGGCACCCCCCCAGCACGGACGCCCTCCCGGCCTTAGCTCCGCCCTCACTCACCTGTCCCCTGCCGGGCAGGAGCCACCCCAGCGTTGACTGTCACGCACCACAGGCTCTGGGCTAAACCTGTCCAGGCGGCGTCAGAAAAGATGTCGTCCTCTCCATTTTACTGACGAGGAGATGTGAGGTTCGGGGAGTGTGACACTTGCCTAGCTGTTCACAAACTCAGCTAAGGAGTAACGGCCTTTCCAACCCCCAGTCTGTCTAGGTCCACAGCCTACACCTGTAGTCCTCCATTCAAGTAGCTGTGGCTCCCTGGCGGCCAGGGACCTGGCTGGTTCAGTCCCCAGAGGGCAGTGGGGTCTGGTGCCCTGATGCAGAAGCCGGGACACCTGAATGTCAGTCACAGGTCCTCCATCAGAGCTCTGGGGTATTTGCCCATCTGCTCAGCCTTGCGTTCTGCCTGTCCCCAGCTTATTTCTATTTGGGAGACCACCTTGAAAGCTCTTGCCACTTGGCTTGGAGCCAGGGGGCCATGTCCACTCAGCGGTGCACCTTGAAGGGCGGGCCGGGGGCATACTGTCCCTTTAGCTCTGAGTCTTGCGTGCTGCCCCAGGTGTGCCTGGCTGATGCCGGCCTCCCGCTGGGGGTGGGAAGCGGAGATGGCACGTCAGGAAGAGTGAGCGGGCCTCTCTCCATCTACCACCACTGCCTCCTGGTAAGGGGGGGAGGCTGGGCCGGGGCGGGGGAGCCCCTCCTAGCTCTCGGGCCGCCTCTTCTCTTCCAGGGCTGTGCCTCATTCAAGCCAAACTCTCTGAGATGGAGGAAGTCAAGCCAGCCAGGTAAAGCAGGGTCCCACCCTTGATCTGGAAGTAGTCTTGGGGGGGCGGGGCCTTAAAATCACAGGGGTCAGGAGACTTGCACACTTCAAAAACCATGAGTTTTTTAAACACTTTAATTAAAATGGACAACGTGCTCGTTGTAACTGTTCAACAACTCCTAAAGGACTTCAGAGAAAGAAGCAGAAGTCCCTTCTCCCCCACAGCCCCGGTGCCACCCTCCTCCATCCCCAGCTCCTTCAGCTCCTCATCACCGGCAGGCCTGTGCCCTTGCGGACCGTTCTGCACATGTGTGCCTGTCCCTGTGCACAGAGCTGTGCATATGTGTGCATACGTGTGCACAGCCACGTGGCATTCAGGATTTTTCTTTTTTTCTTTTTTTTTAAGATTTTATTTATTTTATTTTTAGAGAGGGAAGGGAGGGAGATAGAGAGAGAGAGAGAGAGAGAAACATCAATGTGCGGTTGCTGGGGGTCATGTCCTGCAACCCAGGCATGTACCCTGACTGGGAATCGAACCTGCGACACTTTGGTTCGCAGCCCGCACTCAATCCACTGAGCTGCACCAGCCGGGGCCTCGCATTCAGGATTTTTCTTAATGTGTTTATGCCAGACACATTTTTCTGCCACTTGCTCTTCCTCCCCCCGCCCCGCCCCACTTCTGACAGAGTGATCTATCTTGGAGATCACTCTATGTCAGCCCAAAAAAACCTACTCCTTCCTTTTTTAATAGCTGCAGAATATTCTGTTGCATGAATATGTCCTGAATGTGAACGCTCTTATTCGTACACATCTTGGCACACTTGTTCGAAGATCTTGGTAGGACTGATTCTTAGAAGGAAATTGCTACGTCACAAGGCATGCTCGTTTTCCTTGCGGCTGGTGGGTTCGAATTGCCCCCCACAAAGGCAGCCCCAGCCAGAGCCCCAATAACAGTGGGCACTCCCTGCCAGCAGTGGGCATAACAGCCTTTTAAATTCCTGTGTACATGGATGGATGTGAAACACTACATTGTTTTAATTTGCACATTCTCTTGAATATCAGAGAGGTTGAGAACAGGTTACATGCTTCTTAAAAATTATTGTGCAAGTAATAGTCATCATAGAAAACCTAAAAAACAAGGGAGGTTGGTGGATTGGGAGTGGGGAGGCGGAGGGATGGGGAGAAAATACAACTGTAATTGAACAACAGTAAAATAATTTAAATTTTAAAAAAAGAAAACCTAAAAAGAACACAGATAAGTCTAAGGAAGAAAATACAAATCACCCTTAATCTCAACACCTGGTTATAACCCTGTTGCCGTTTTTGATACATACATTTGATTCAAACCTAGATACACTTTCACGCATACACTTTACATACATCATAACCTTGTTACTATTTTTGATGCACACATTTACATTTTCGATGCATTTGCAGATGTCTGCTTTTTTTTTAATGACATGACAATGACGTGACCTGCTTTTTCCCCAAACATCTTTCCATCAGGAGACACGCAGTCTGATCCTGGTCCCGCCCTTGGCTTCCTGTGACCAGTCGATCCCACTGGGTCTTGGCCTTACCTATGTGTGGATTAGAGGTCATACACCTGGCAGCACACGCCTTTGTATGAAAAGTCCTTGAGCAGGTCACTGGTTCGATTCCCAGTCAGGGCACATGCCTGGGTTGCAGGCCAGGTTCCCAGTGCGGGGCGAGCAAGAGGCAACCACACATTGATGTTTGTCTCCCTCTCTTTCTCCCTCCCTTCCCCACTCTAGGTAGATAGATAGACAAAAAGAAAGAAAGATGGAAAGAAAGGGAGGGAAGGAGGAATGAAGGTCCTTGAGCAGTAGGGAGTGCTCTGCCCACAGGAGAAGTGCTTTAAGTGGTTATGGTAATTAACTGGTGTGTGTGTGTGTGTGTAAGTCTGCAGAGTCACAGGTGGGTTGACTGACCAGGCCTCTCTCCCTCTGCCCCACAGCTGGTGGGTGCTGGTTGCTTACGGCGTCCTCTTAGTCACCCTGGGAGCCTTCATCTTCGGCCAGACCACAGCCAATGCCATCTTTGTGGACCTGTTGGCATAACCACGGCCTCCCGAGGACCACACGGCCTTTGTCCTTGCACCCGGGAACCCGTCTCTTACAGCTGCAGGGCCAGCTGGCTGGCATCATTCCCCTCTGCCGGTGGCTGGCACGACATCTGGACGTCCTTTTCCAGCGGCGGCTCTGGGCTGAAATCAGGCGCCGCACCTCCGGACAGCTCCACTCGGCTCCCGTCCTGCCCCCCTGTCCTGGCAGTGCCACGGATGGTGGCGCAGTGTCCCAGAGGAGCCCCGCCCCCGACCTCGGCTTCTCTATGCCTGGAACCCACGGGTGCAGAGGTCAGCAGGCCTCCGAAGAAAGACTGCAGCCTGACGGCGCTCTGGAGGAGGGCGGGCAGAGGGCTGCAGTCCATCAGCAGACCAGGCAGCAGTGGCTTCCTCCGGGGTCCAGCAGCATCCACAGGTAGCACTGGATTCACACAGATGCACGGCAGCAGGCAGAGTCCGTGCCTGGTCCGTTCCCTCCTGGGCCCACGGTGAACCTGCAGCCCTCTTTCCCGTGGGCACTGGCCGCTCCCCAAGGCTTTGGGGCCACGCTCAGGGTCTTTCCCCAGCCCTGAGGGTCCAGGCATCCTTTCCCTCCTCCACCCCCATACACCACCAAGTCTTATGTTTACAGACGGGGCCAGCCCGGCTCAGCCAGGGGCCAGGGGCCGTCCCGTGCCACGGTGCTGTGAGTGCTCCCCCTCAGCTTCCCCCAGGGCGGGGGTCTTTCTCAGATCCCAGGGGCCCCTCTTTATAGAGGTTCAGACGGGTGGTGGAGAAGGCTGGGAACCTTTCAGACCTGGTCAGGATCAAGGAGAGCCTGTCTGGCATCCACTCCCTCGGTGATTGCTTCTCTCTCCCCTCCCCACCAACCCCAGCACGGCAGCCCAGAGACAAGCAAGGCCGCTGATTGGTCACTGACTGGGTGTCACTGAGAGCCGTTTCTCCAGCCTGGATGCTTCCCTTTCAATCAGGATGTTGTCTCCTCCTTCCCCCACCCCATTTTTCATGTCACTCAGTCTCCTGTTCACTGAGTATTGGGGAGTGGGCTGCCACACCCCCTCTTGTCTCCTTCTTCAGCCCCACACATCCACCAGGCCCAGCCTCAGTGGCCTGTCAGCCACAGTGAGGTCACACCTGGACTGTGCCCAGGGAGGGTGAGGAGGGACACTGTTCTCCCATTCTGTATTCTTGTTTTGAACACCTGGGCCACTCACTCTGGCCCACACCAGGCACCCACTGAGGCCTCCTCTGCCTGGAACACCCAGCATTTCCCTGGCCCCTCTTTACAAAACCCCTGTACTGGGGTGGGGGTTGGGGAGCTCGGCCTGGCCCCCCAGCCCTCGGGACAGCCAGACGGAAGAAGCAGAGGCTGGCTGGAGGCTGGATTTTGCTCAGTCCCCAAACTGGGTGACCTGCCTTTCCTCACATCCGGGCCCCTGGGGCCGGAGCCACTCTGTGGCTTTCTCTCAGCCTGTTGAACCTCTCCTGGCCCTGCCTGCACCGTCCTGATGAGTGTGGCTGCCCAGCCTCCTGATGCTGGATGTCGGGGGTGCAGGGAGCTGAGGGAGTTGTTGCACAGACCCAAGCAGTCAGGAGAGGGGGCTGGAGTTGGGCCTCGGCCCCAGCTCAGGAGCCCACTACCCTCCCTGCCAGGGCATTTTACTGTTTCTCGTCTATAGTGCAGGGAAGATGGTAAATAAAAGGGGGCTTGTGCTGCTGAGCCGTGTGGCCTGTGTCTGGTGCTGGGGACAGAGTCCAGGCCGCTGCTGACAGGAGAAAGATATGGGGGGGGGGGGGCGGATAAGGCCTTCTAGCTTTTGTGTCTGTAACCCCTGTCTCAGGGATGGGCACCACCTTTACCAAGCTGGACACCTGCAAGTGGTTCTTGATGCCTTCTTTGCCTTCGTGGCCCACTGGCCCTTCCCCACCCGCTGGGGAATCAGCCTCAGTCCCCGCCCTGTCTCTGCCCCAGCTCCAGCCCTCACCTCATCTTCCTGCACTGCCGTGGCCTCAGACTGCCCCCCGTGCTGCATGTCCCTCTGGGACCTCAACTCTTCGGGGAGCTTCAGACCCCTGCACATCCATCCCTACCCTTTCGGAGGTGTGTGGAGCCCATCACTGTGCTCAGTGCTGGCAGGAAGGCAGGGACACCAGTTCTGTGCTCAGTCTACTGGGGACAACTGATGCTGAGCCAGTGGTCACACGAGTATATACTTGCAAGTTGTGATATGGGCCAAGAAGGAAAAATACAGAACGTTATATTTGGGCCTAGGATTTGAGGAGTCAAGGAGAACTTCCTGGAGGAAGTAACATTTGAGCTGGCCCCTGAATGATGAGTAGGAATGACGTGAAAAGCGGTAGGGAGACCTTCCCAGGCCACAGGAACTGCGTGTGCAAAAGCCCTGTGGCGGGAGGCACGTGGTGGTTTGCAGAGCTGAAAAGTGGCAATGGTTGGTGGAGTACCGCCTGTGAGAGAGCATTCTGGGATGGTCTTCAGTGGCTCCTTCTAGTCCTCACGGTAAAGTCCAACCAGCTCATCTTCCACTATACTCCCCCTCCCTGCTCCAGTCATAGGTGAACAGAGACCCCTGCCCCCGGTGGGGGTAGGAACTGTCCGAGGAGGAAACGCTTCAAAAGGCTAGAGGGATGGGACAGCTTTGGGGCATGGTCCACACCTGACTAGGGGGCCAACGGCTTGTGGTGTGGTTGCACTGCCTCTGAGTGAACAGAGAAAAGGAAAGGTTACACTTATCCCAAAGTCAAAGTAGCAGCCAAAGCCACATTCATCCATCTCACTGAAGACACCCCTACCTCTTGCTCACCACACTGATACAGGCTCGATCAACATCCGTCTCCCCCATCATTAGACTAAGCTCCACGGAAACGGGGTCATGTCCTCCTTGCCCCTCAGGCATCTTAGCCCAGTGCCCAGCACACAGTAGACGCATGTTCAGTAGCTGTTGAACTTAACAAATGAATGACTATCGACTACAATGGGTTGAGTTCTCACCTCGTGTGGGCACCTGGCTTGCATCATTCTCACTTGGTCCCCACAACAACTCTAGGAGGGAGCGAAAGCTAGGAGGTGTTAAGTCGTTCTCCCAAAACACACAGGAAGTAAAATTGGAGCCAGGCAGCCCTCCTACCACGCAGGGGGAAACGAGCAAGCAGAGGGCTCCCTCAGAACCAGCCTGGTGATCTCAGTCCCCAGAAGGCAGGCCCAGGAACCTGCCTCCCCCACGCTGGCTCCAGCACCAGATCTCAGAACCCTGGGGTCCCTCTCCCAGCCCATCCATGGCCAGTGGTGTGACGCCTGCTGGCCACTGGCTCTGGACTTGTTTCCCTAAGTCTAAACGTGGAGGGATCATCCCTGATCTTACTACCTGCCAGGGCAAAGGGGAAAGTATATGACAATGACAGAAGTGCTTTCTAGAAAGCCAGTAACCTGTGTTTAGAGAAGAAATGTGAAAACTCATTTTCTCCTGAGGCGGACACAGGCTGGGCTTCCCCTACTGCTCTCCTGGAGTCTGGGTTTTTTCTTCAATGTGCATATCCAATTTTTATAGGCGTAGAGTACAAACTCTGACTCTCTGGATCTGGGGTGGGGCCCGAGGTCTGCGTTGCTAACGCTCCTAGTGTTTCCCACGCTGTGCTTCTGCGACCACAGTAGCGGGGGACTGGTGGACGAAGCAAAGGCTTTGACCTCAGATGGACCTGGCTTGGATCTTAGCACTGCCTCTTAACGCTGTCGAAACTCAGGGAACCAGTTCGCTTCTCTGAACCCCGCTTTCCTGAACTATAAAGTGGGAGTGAGGGTTCCCACCTTGTAGCTGTCAGTATTACAAATCCGAGAACAAACGTCATAGGAATCAACGTGAAGTACTCAGAAGAAAGCAGAGATTATGTTGGTCAGGTCTCTGTACCGGGAGGAGCATGCCCCTGCAGTTCCTTCCTTTGGTCACTAGAGGTCACCATTGTGTAATTTCTGTGCCTGTAAGGGAGAAGCCTTGCTTTTCAGAAGAGACTCCTCTGAGTCACTAGAGCTCCCAGTGATTGGAAACTGCCTGGAACTTCTAAGTGAAACCCCTCTTCCCGGGACAGGGCCACCTCTACATCATGGCCAGCAGCCTAGTACGGGAATCTGACCAATCAAACAGTCTCGGAAACTAATAGTGTAGGTCCATGTGCTGGATGTAGATTAAATATTGCAAATCCAAATTTGGTAATAATTCACTGCTGATGAAAAAATGTCTTAAAAATAAAATAAGGGGAGCCCCTTCTAGTTGCTAGATGGGGTGCTGCCAGATTCACAAATTCTTCAACAAAGCCAATTGCATCTTTGAAAAAATAAAGTTTTCAGTAGGCGTGGAAGAAGGCCAGAGACAGTGTAGCCAGGAAGGCAGACACCCTGCCCTCCACACATTGTGTTTCGGGGGGTGGGGCGAGGTTAGAGGAGAATGAGGGGGCAGGCACAGGATCCATCCATGTGGTCATTTTGCTTTTGCTTTTCCTTTTTTTTTTGTTTTTAAGTTCCCCAACCCCTCCCCTCTGTTTTTTTCTAGTTCCCCAACCTCTCCCCTCTGAGAACGGTCGGTCTGTCCCACATATCCATGCCTCTGGTCCTATTTTGTTCATCAGTTTATTTCGTTCATTAGATTCCACATATGAGTGAGATCACGTGGTATTTGTCTTTCCCTGACTGGCTTATTTCACATGGCTTAATATTTTTCAGGTCCATCCATGCTTTCACAAAGAGTAATAGTTACTTCTTTACAGCTGCATAGTATTCCATTGTATAAAGATACCACAGCTTTTTTATTCACTCATCTACTGATGGGCACTTGGGCTGTTTCTAGATCTTGACTATTGTAAATGGTCATTTTTCCATTAAAAATGAAACTGATGTGTTTCCATGCCAGCGTGTAAGAAGCATGGAAATGCTCCCTCCATCCTAACACCAAGCTGGAGAGTCATCAACTGTAAGATCTGTAAGACAGGTCAGGTCACAATGCACACCACTGCCCCCCA